AATAGCTTTTTCATCTGTATAGGTGGTTTTGATTTGGGATTTGGGCTTTTTTGTGTGCTTTACACTTGTCCAAGAGGGTTGGAGCCATTTTGGAGTGCGGTGCTCTGCTTTGAGGTCTGCTCTGAAGTTTTTGCTAACTTCTAGCTGGCAGTCTCACTTAAAAGAGCATGAAGTGTCAGAGCAGAACTAAAGCACATTACTCTCCAACCAACCCTTCAGATTTCTCTCTTTTGGACTGATTTTTTTGAGAGGATTGAATGCAACTCGTAATACTGACTCTGAGCTCCCCATAAAAGGCTGACTCCAGCTGGAAAGCAGCCAGCGCCAGTTAAAGGCTTTATGTTATCTGTGATAGATGAAGGCAACAAAGTACACAGCCTTTTGGATTTTAGCTCTTTACTTAAACAGAAAGCATTTAAACGATGGAGAGATATGGTTTTCCCCCTTATTTTTAACTCTTGGAGTACTGGTTTTTGAAGTGTACATGTGCTTTCCACTAACTTTTTTGAAAAGCTACACTGAAGAGAAAAAAAAACTTTGAGTTTCTTTTCATACATAGCAGGGATGGGAAAAGTGAAAACTCAGTCGTGTTTTTCCCTGCTGTAACAGACTTCTTATTTATTTTCAGGTGCATTCCTGATTCCCTATTTTCTTACTTTAATTTTTGCTGGAGTGCCACTGTTTCTTTTGGAGTGTTCCCTTGGTCAGTACACATCTATAGGAGGCCTTGGAGTGTGGAAACTGGCTCCAATGTTCAAAGGTAAAGTATGAATTTGAATTGCTTTTCATTTGTTTCCAAGTTGCAGAACGTGCACAGACAGGGCAAGGATGTTCCTTGATGCCTTCATAGTTTTATTAAACCATAATTTTCCACAGAAACACTTAATTTTCTGAGGAGTGACTGAGAATTTTGAAACATGATACAGGGTATTATTCATTCCCCCTTCAAAATAGCAAGAGTTAGGCATTAGAACCTCCACAAACTTATTTTTGAACTTCAAAAACTTCAGAGATTTTTTTGTAGGAACACATAAAAAGTGTTAAAAACAGCGTATCGAATCCATTGTCTGAGCAGAGGTGGAACTGCCTCTTTGGTAAACTTTGGTATATTTGTCTCAGGTCACAGAGCTTTGTATTCCCTGTTGTTTTTTATTAAAATTCAAAAGCCAGGCACTTTAGAGATGGCAATTACATGCTGAATTTCTTAAGACAATCTCACTCCACACTTAGACTTTTAGCTGGTTCCAGGTTTGATTGCTAGAACCTCAGGGTTTTGATGTAGATTCTACACAGACCCTACAAACCTCCCAAACTATGCCTTGCACCCCTCAAATCCCAAATCCTTTAACACTTCAGAGCTCCTGAGCTGATTTCTGGACCAGCAGAGGAGCAAGTTGCACACTGAGTCATAAAATTACTTCCCACAGCAGGGCTGACAATTAGCACAGGGTGAGCTGAAAGTTTGTTTAGATTGAATTTCGTCCTGGGAAATTTAGTCTTGGGAAAACCCAGAGGGGCTAAATTGTTTCTCACAGAGAAGTGTTTTTGCTTGAGTTAGCGCTGTTGGTGGGGGTTAGTACAGACCTCACTTTGCATTACACTGATTACTGGGAGCACTTCCCTCCTCTTTAATGTCACGGGGCAACTGTCACCAGCTTGAGTATTTTAAAATCCCCCTTTAAAATCCACGTGGAGTAGAAGACAAAGGACCCTTCAGTGTGGAATTTTTTGCCATTTCTAAAGTCTGAGATGACAGAACTGCATCAAGCCCTTTGATCTGTGTCCTAAATGGCCAGCTGGTCTTGTCACACATTCTCACTTTGTGTGCATCTGCCACAAGTGTCTGTGGGGCCGGTGCTTCAGAGAATGAGCTGACTTAGCTCTTTTTCCTGGAAGTAAAAAACACCAGTAAAATCTCAGCCACAGCAGGTGTGACTGCACCACACAGAGAACTGGACACTGGCAATAAATTTATAATTTATATATGTCCTGAACTGCAGCTCTTCAGCTGATGCTTGTATAGACATTACTGAAAGCTCCTTATTTTCTATTTCTTTTTCTTTTCTTTACAGGTGTGGGCCTGGCTGCTGCAGTCCTTTCCTTTTGGCTAAATATTTACTACATTGTGATTATTTCATGGGCCCTGTACTACCTATATAATTCCTTTACCACTGTAAGTGCCTGTGTCAGAAGGGGTTTGGAATTGTCTGTTGAATGTAAAGCAAAGTGATATAGAGATACCTGACTAATCTGACTCCATATAAACGTCTGAGGTTAACAGAACATGCACAGAAATCTGTAGGATAAGCTGTTTCTTACTCTAAGAAAAACTGTTCTGTAAAAATCCCTTTTTAAATTTTTTTCCTCCACGAAGACATTTGGAACAGAAAACTGTGAGGAAAACTTTCTATTTCGAGAATGTCAGTGGAGAACTATTGATAATAGGTTATTCTGGAGCTCTTTTCTTGTCCTTTCTTGACAATTTGTTTCAATTTCCTCATTTTAACCTTCAGAGCCGCAGCTTTCAGCTGTACCATTTTATTTTCACCTGCCTCCGCCACTTAATCACAACAACCCTGCTTGCTCCTCTCCTTCCCTGCCAGGCAGCTTCAAGCCATGCTCAGATTTCAGACTCCTTGCCCTGCCAGTGCCACCAAGAGCACCAAGACCCCTTTGTGCCCACAGGCCAGTTATTCCCCCAAGAAAAATCCTAGGCTAGAATTAATTTTATTTTTTTTTTCCTTCATTAGCAGCCACACAAATATTATTTCTTTGGGAAATAGTATCATTGCAATGTGGTTTAATAACAGAGGGGTTTATTAAAGAACCCCCCCCCTGGAATGGCAGGTCTGTGATGTGATTAGCTCTGAACTCCCATTCGTCGTCGTTATTTTTGCTTTGTTTTCTTTCCTGTTTGCCTTATTTTTAGCTGCCTCTTTTCCCCCCCTTCAAGGGTGATTCATCAGCTGAGTAAGTCTTGTCTGATTTGTGGGGTTTGGCCATCTCAGGAAGTGCTCTTATATAAGTCTCAATAATTAATGCATCTTTGTTCAATTGGCTCCGCTATAAATGTTGTTCCTGCTTGCTTGTTCTTGGCTTTAAAAAATTATCCCTTGACCAAATTTGCATTAATTACTGTCTGGGGGTGACAGGAGCGTTTCTTCTTTGTTATCCTCAGAATTGCTATTGATGTGAAAGGACAGTCATTTTCTGGAGGTGGTGTTCAGGTCCAGGTTAGATGAATATGGACTTCTAATTCCCTTGAAGCCTCTCATCCTTGTATATAAAACATGCAATATAACATTCCTATAAGAGGATTTCTCAAGAATTGCCATCAGAAGAATATCTAAGTTGTATGCAAAGGAGGTTCATTCTGATGGATAAGACGTGGAAAGAGGTTCTGCCCCTCAGAGCTTCTGAAAGTGGTAATGGAAACAATACAGAAAATACACGTAGATAACAGAGAGTTTACCTTTTTCTGATTATCCCCTGACCTGAGGGGAAAGTGAAAAATCTCTGATCAACACCCATCACACCTTTATCACCTCTTGTGCAACAAGAGGTAGCAGGCACTGCAGGAGGTCCTTTCTGTTGTTTCAACATAACTCTCATGCTGAGAGGTTCTCAGACCCCAGAGCATTTGGTCTGATATGTTAAAGACAGGAAAGAATATTTTCACATCTGATTCATGCAACTGATATGAAGTTAATAACTTTTGTGGCAGACACAGCCCCCAGGGAGCTCAGCGCTCTGCAGAGCTCGAGGTGTGTTAGTTCTCCCCTCAGCTGTCATTTCTAGCAAAGAGAGAGATACCTGAGCCAATGCTTTGCTTAAAAAGTGTCTGACTTCAGGTTTTTCCTTTCTCTTTCCCAAACAGACTCTTCCTTGGAAACACTGTGAGAACCCCTGGAACACAGACCACTGCTTCTCCAACTACACCTTAGCAAACACCACCAACATGACAAGTGCCGTGGTGGAATTCTGGGAGTAAGATGATCATTTTTTTTCTCTGTCTCATTGCTGTGCATGTGCAAGGATCAGGTTGTTATCACTCAAATAATGTCTTTCTGAGCTACTTGCCAAATGCACCGTTCTCTTGGCCTCTCCTAGACGCAACATGCACCAAATGACTGATGGATTGGAAAAGCCAGGGCAAATCCGATGGCCCCTGGCGATTACTCTGGCAATTGCCTGGATTCTGGTGTATTTTTGTATCTGGAAGGGGGTAGGCTGGACTGGAAAGGTAAGATTAAAAAGTACTGTAAACACCTTTCGATTAAAAATGCCCATTTTTAGTCAAATATTCTGAAAATTCCTGAGGTAAGAGGCACTGGGGATGGTTTTGCTCTGTGAAGGATTAAATTTCTATTTTCCTGAACTGATACAGCCCATGTGTTTGGAAGAGCTGGCTCCTCTGTAGCCAGGGTTGACCACAGTCAGATGCTATGCTCACTTAGTGGAGTTCTTGGCTTCGCCAGGTATAAAAATTGCTGGGCTTAGATAGATACGTAAGGAAGTGTTGGGAAGAGCTACTCCCTCCTTTCCTCGTGCTGAGTGAGAGATGTAGGAGGCTGTTGCCTTCCTGCTGTGCTTCTGGGGGTCTGCCTGGTTGCTGAGTGCAAACCAGAATTTACTAATGAATTAAAGGAAATCATATTATTGACAGACCTTTCTCCAGGAACGAAAGGGCAAAATGGCAGGAAAGGAATCTCGGGGGAAATGAAAAACCACAGCCATGAGGATTCCAACCCAACTGAAGTGCTGGGTTGGGAGATCTCAGGTCTGGTGCAGAGGACTAGGATTTTATTCACACTGAAAGGATGAGTTGTTAAATTTTGACAAGGTGGTTGTAACTGTGACCCACTTCAAGCAGCATTTGAGCATGGCCTAGCTGAGCTCAGACCAAGCCATTTCATTTCTCCCTTCTACAGTGGTGAAAAGTAAGAGGGCTGGTTTTGTTCCTTTGGAGTCTGAATTTGTGGTGTCTTTTTTGATAGGGTTTTTCAAAAGCAAGGGAGTGGGAGGCTGTGTATCATAATACAGATGAGGAGAGAGTGGGAAAAATGAGCTGACAGATGTTGTTGTACGAGCAGGGTGCTGGTGCCATGATTCTTGTGCTTTTGGGACTTCCCCTTGTTAAATATAAATACAAAAAAAAAAAAAAAAAAGGGGTGAGCCCCTCATGTGAAAAATATCCTAATCTACTGTATTCCACCTTCAGGAAAACAGGCAACAGCCACCTGTCTTTAGACTTAGTCTTCAGGGAATTCTAGAGCAGGCACTCCCCTTCCCACACCAAGCTTTTCCACTGATAAATGCTTTAATTTTAAGAGTCAGCCTCAGTTGCTGTTACAGTATTCCAGGGAGCAGTATTTTCTGAAGTGTTAACGAGCACAGATCGTTCTTCCTTCCACACTTACCATGTCTTGTTTCTTCACATCAGGTGGTTTATTTCTCTGCTACTTATCCCTATGTTATGCTGCTTATCTTGTTCTTCCGTGGTGTAACACTGCCTGGAGCAAAGGAAGGCATTTTGTTCTATATAACTCCCAACTTCAGTAAGCTTTCAGACTCTGAGGTAAATATCCAACCCTTGTGAACAAAAAGTTTCGCTGCTAACTGTTCACCTTTCAGACATATGACCTGCTCCTCAAGTGCAGAAACAGATTTTTTTAAAAAAAAATTATTTCCTGCAATCAGGTTTGGCTGGATGCTGCCACACAGATTTTCTTCTCCTACGGGTTGGGTCTTGGTTCACTGATTGCCCTTGGAAGTTACAACCCTTTCCACAATAATGTTTACAGGTAAGCAGATGACTGCACATATTGCAGTGGCACTTGCCTGTCTCAGCTGGAGCTGGGTTCTGTCTTTCTGTGTGCTAGGTCGTCAAAAAAAAGTGTAGTCTTGAATATTAAATGCCATATCTGACTAGGGATAAGATGTATAACTGCATTTACACTAATGGGAAAGGCAGAGTGATTTGCCCAGCATGAAATGGAAGCCAAACTGTGAAATCCTAAATCCTGAAATCTTTTCACAGGAAGAAGCCAAGACCATTTTCTTTACCTGCTCTTTAAAGTGCTTTGCCTTTATTTCAGGGACTCCATCATTGTGTGCTGCATAAACTCATGCACAAGCATGTTTGCCGGCTTTGTCATCTTCTCCATCGTTGGATTCATGGCAAATGTCACAAAGAGGCCAATTGCAGATGTTGCAGCATCAGGTATCCAATGCATTTTTCTCTGAGTGGTGCAGCGGCGTCAGTTATTTCTCGTTTGTACGTTGTATCCGCGCTGCAACTGTTCAAAATCCCTCCCTCAAAGCTCCCTGTCCCTTCAGTCAGACTGCAAAGGGCAGAGCATCACTCCAAACCTCTCTGGGCAGCACCAGCAAGGACGTTTCACGTCCAGCTGCCTGGTGCTCTCAGCCCCTGGAGTGGAGTGGTCAGGCTGGGCTGACACAAGGAATGCTGCTGAACGCTGGGATTACAGGGAATGTGTTTACAGGAGGTGGCAGCACAGTTTGCTGCTTCAGTGCTTGGTTGTGACATCAGATTATGAACCTCCTGCTACTGGAATTCTGAAAAGCAAACTGAAAGGAGGAATGGCAGTCATTATGGGTTTGGTTTTTGCTGGGTTTTGGTTTTGGTTTGGTTTGGTTTGTTTTTTTGAGCCAGTATTTTCAAATTCAGTTAGGTTTTAAATTCCTTTTCCTGAGGCTGAGCCCTTTGAGGCAGGTGCAGTTCTCACCTGTTCAGACCTACAGCTTTTTTTATGGAACTCTTTATTATGCAAGTCATTTTATTTATTTAGGGCAGTGAGATGTCCATGGAAGGATTATGCTATTCCTTGCAGTTCCTTGTCTGTCTTCCAGATGAAAAAGCTTAAAGCAGCAGAGCAGATGGTTGCCCTAACCCAGCTGGTGCACCAGATACTCACTTAGCAGTTCTGGCCACAGGGAGGGATCTGATAACTGAAAGCTTGTTTGGAAGTCACTGGTGGACAAAATATGCCTAACTATCCTAGCAAACACATCCTCTTCATGAAATATTCCCTTAGTTAGGAAAGCAGGGACTTTAAGCCCTAAAAATAGTCTTCAATAAGCTGCACATCCAAAGAAATTAGGCACAAAATGATGATGGCATAAACTGTTATCAAAAAAATGTTCTGGAAAGTCAGTGGTGTGTGAAATAAGCTTTTTGGATTTATGTATTTGATACAGATATAACTATAGAAAGGCCACACCTGCAAACAGAACATCACTTTTATATCCTATTAAGCTCCTAAGTGCATTTGAAGGTACTTAAGATAACAGACTTCTTAGAGATGCCCATGACCTCCTGTGGCCACTAATTGCAAAGGATATTTGAAAATCTGACTCTTTAATTAAGGCTTATATTTCTCCTGGCAACCTCAGAAACTGGTGCTTCATTTTAGCCCTACAAGACAGGTTGTTTTGCCATCTTTTACACAACTTTGAAAAACAAATGATGTTATTAAAAGCCGTGGCTGCATTTCAGTGGAATGTGTAACAGAGTAAAATGAACATATTTATCTGAAGTTTATTTTGCTGCTAGCACTGCCATTTGGAAGGCTTTCCAATCATATCTGCTCTTGCTAGCAAATAATTGCTTCAAAATCCTCACTGCACTGAGTCTGACAGTTCTGGTGCTAATGGCAGTCCTTGCTCCACTGCTTTGTGTGTCCAAGCACTTGCCACACTCAGGCTTTTAATGAGAGCTGAAAAATCAGAGACCCACCTTAGATGAGGCACATGAACTTTATTCCTGTGATTATTTAGTTTGCTACAGATTTCCCTCTTAACCTGACATCAGCTGTTTTCCAGCTGTGCCAGGAGAACAAAAAGAGCTCCTTTCTAAATAATAATTTACATCCTCCTTCCAACACTATGCCCCCCCCCACCTCAGCAGTTAGCAGGGAGACAAGTTAAACAGTTTGCCTGTTCAAAAATATATAGTTTATTCAAATGTGCATTTTAAGATCAATAATGGAACAGCAGGAAAGTGTAGTTGTCTTTGTTTCTCTTCTGAACCACTTGGGGCAAAGCAGAAGATCACAGCTATCAATAACTGCTTGAGGGGAGAGAAAGCTGGAAGATGTAATCCCAGCCAAGGATAACATTCCCTACCTTTGCTATACAAAGGCAGCTTCTGAACTGCATCCAGTATTCTGGTTGGTTGGGTTTGGGGGTTTTAGGGCTGCTTTTTGTTTTTTGGTTTGGTTTGGTTGGTTCGTTTTAAAAGCAAAATACAAGCACTGCCCTCTCGGTGAGTGAGAACTGATGAGCTGAAATCCCCGGCCAGGGGCTGCATCCATGGCTGGGCCATCCCAATAAACCTCAAACTTGTCACCAGCAGGAGCAGAGAATCACAGCACCAATCCATCACATTGATGTTTTCTCTCCTGTTTCTCCTCCCAGGCCCTGGACTGGCATTTCTGGCTTATCCAGAAGCAGTGACTCAGTTACCAATTTCTCCTTTGTGGGCAATACTGTTCTTCTCCATGTTGCTCATGCTCGGAATCGACAGTCAGGTAAAACTGGTGTGAAAATGAATAAACACGACACGTTTTCTGCAGCTGTGGGGTCCAAGGTTGCCCTGTCCCTGTGCACTCTGCAGTGGTAGTCGGGCAGAAAGGTTTCTGAAATGGTCATACAAAAAAAAAACCCTGAGATTCCAGGACCCTGGGATAATAAAACAAGTGATGTTGAGACACTTTTTCCCTTTTACAAACTGTTGGAAGCATATTTAAAACGGGCAGGAAATTCGTTGTGCAGGCAAAAGGAACTTTTCTTTGAAGTATTCACTGTCAAATCACAATGTTAAATATACCTTTGTAATGTTCAGGAGGCACTGGGATATATTTTTCAAGATTTAGATGCCACAAATATTGCTGAAAGAACTCCCTACTGGAACAAAAAGATGCAGCACAAATTTCATTTTAAGCATAAGAATGTCTGGAGCAAATTCAGTAGGCAGTGGGGTTGTTACCGAGGGCATTCCATGTCTTGGTGTGTTCTGAAATCACTTTCCACTGGAAAGGATTTATTGGTTCAGGCTTTAGCAAGGTTATACAAGGTATCTGACAGCTGGAAGTGAATGGGAAGGCACAGCCTAGGGGCTTTGCAAATCCAAATGAGATGTTCTCCAGAACGCCTGGATTAAGCAATTAAATCATTAAGTCGTGGAATCATTTAAAATGTTTATTGTGACATGAAAAAAAAAAAAAAGCCCACAGCACGAGATAAAACCCTTTAGAAAGGACTAAGCAAGGTTCAACAGAAGCATTTGATAATCAGGACTAATTTCAGTATAGGTAACAACCCTGTCAGCACCAAGGAGAGCACACTTTGAGGACTTGCAGAAAGTGCCTCCTGCCTTCTGGACTGTTTGGTCACCTTTGTGTGACCAGTCCTTGGAGATGTTTTAATCTCCTGGCAATCAGCTGCAGTTGGCAAACCAGCACCTGGCAGTTCTTGGCACAGCCCTCACAGCACAGAAAGGGGTGTGGGATTTACTGGCTTAGCACTGTACCAGTCTTTCAGTAGAGAAAATCCATCATTTTCTATAAATCCAGGCTGACTTCAGACTGAGAACCAAAACAGAAAAAGACCAAGAGAGCATTTTATCCTGCGAGATGAAAGAAACTTGGAAGTTTGTATTTCCTGCTTCTTTGTCTTTCAGTGAGCTTCAGGCTTGACATTAAAACCTATTGCTCAATCTGGGGGGAAACTGCTGTGAAATTAATTGGGTCAAAAATATTCTTGAAAGAACTTGTCTCTAGGCAACTAACAGCTGAGGAAGGTAGTCTAATGTTATTAAAAAGGATATATATCTACAGGCTGTCATGCTTTCTGCATTTTCTGTCTGTCAGTGAACCATTTCATACACTGCAATTTACAGGAGCTGTAACTATTGGTTGAATTCTGATTGCACTGCTGAAAATTAATGAAACTTTACATACATTCTGGTTTTCACGGTTTCAGCCCTAATGATAAATTTGTCTGAATATACACATATCTGAATATACACATATCTGAATATACACATATATGCACTTTATTTATCTGAAATCTGGCCACGTTTTCTTTTTGGAGGGCACATCCTTGGCAAAAAGTGTTTTCTGGGGATACAAAAAGTGGTTGGTTTATAACATATGAGAATCAGTCTTGTGTCTCTAACCTTCACCATGATGCACCAATCTGATTGGGCCTTCTGTGTCTGTTGTCTTTCATATGTGTGAGTAAATCACATGAAAAAGAAGTGATTTTGTAGGATCAAGGGCTCAAATCCCTCAACTGCAGGTGTATCACCTGTATCAGAAGAAAAAGCACTTTCTGTTCACAGAGCAAATGCCATAGTTCGTAGTTTGGAATTCTGAGTGTTTTCCAAGCTGGAGATCTTTTTACACAGACCTTTTTAGACAGAAACAAGGATTTTTAGGGGCACAGCTTTCCACTGAAGTCAAGTGAATTTTCATTTATCACTGAATGGACGCAGCCTTAGGTCATTGATGGGTACAACTGAAAACTCCTCCCCTAACTGTAATCCTGCAGTGCGTTGCATTGTATTTTCTGTCCGAATTCCCTTGCAGTTCTGCACTGTGGAAGGATTCATAACAGCTTTGGTGGACGAGTTTCCCAGGTTACTGCGTAACCGGAGGGAAATCTTCATCGCTGCCGTGTGCATCGTTTCCTACCTGATAGGGCTGTCCAATATCACTCAGGTATGTGCTGGGGGACACTGGGGTCCCTGCCTGACATACAGAATATTCCTTGCTTCTCCCTTTCCCAGCCCAACCAGGAATTCTTGCACTGAAGTGCAGGGATCCTCCCTCCACACTGTTCATAGATTTCAGGCAGCAGATGTGAACTTGCTAAGTGTAAAATGCCCGTGGTCCGTGGGTGCAGTGTGTGCTGCAGGGTTCAGGTGACAAAAAAATGCACGTCTCTGCACTCCCACGGTCCAAAAAGTGGCAGCTGGGGATGTTGACATTGCTTCTAGATTGCAAACTGTTTGAGGGGAATGATTGAATTATTAAGCAAAAAGTACTGAAGTGAAATTAAACCAGTTAATTAGATTCTGGCAGCAATCTTAATTTCTGACCTCAAGCCTTCTAAAGCTTTAACCCTTTCACTTTAATTAATTGGCACTAATTTGTCCCTAACCTATTCACCACCGTGATTTTGTCACTCACATTTTAATCTATCTTGAAAATAGAGTCCTTATTATATCTTTAACACTCCTTTCTTAAATGTTTTAGGGTGGAATCTACGTGTTTAAGCTTTTTGACTACTACTCTGCCAGCGGAATGAGCCTCTTGTTCCTTGTATTCTTTGAGTGCATCTCAATATCCTGGTGCTATGGTAAACAACGTTTTTATTTTTTTTTTTCCCCAAGTTTTGCACATCGTAAGGACACTTCACCTTCTGATCTGCTGGTTTGTGTGTGCACATACTGAGGGTGGAACTCAAATTGGCCTTGGTTTCTATGCCTGTAATTCCACTGGGGACTCAAAAGTTGGCCTGTGGAAGGTACTGCTGCCTCTTCCAACACCATGCCTAGGGGCCTGGAAATCATTACATGCTGGTGGTGTCAGGAATATTAAGCAGCTCACATCTCATCTCTTTCTTCTCATCCCCCTTCCTTGAAAAGCCTTGATCCTCAGAGGTGTTTGGTGCTGCTGTTCTCAGTGTAATGTCGTAGGGCTTTGGAGCTTTGGAATGTTTCATTTCCAGAAATGTGAGATAATTGCCCTAAAGTATCCAGAAACCTGGACTGGCAGGCCCTGGCTATAAAGATGAATGGATCTGTGTCATATTTTTCCATCTGACCTTAGTTCTGTGTCAGCTCATACAAGGAGCTGCTCCAACAGTTACCAAGGCACTTCAGTTTATGTTACTCAACTGACTGAAAGCTGGATAACTAGACTCTTCCTGCTGGATTTTAACGGGGTTGAGAGGATGGAACAGCATTTTATAGAAGAGAGATACTGCTGATGAATCCAGGAAATGCAAATGGAAAAATACACCAGCTCAATAACGAAGAAATCAAAGTTCCTCATCTTTGATTTCATATCTTGGATTTCATATTTTGCATGTACATGGGGTGCACCAGAGTGAAGCTGACTGATGTTAGGATGGGTTGGGTTCTTATAATTTAACTTGTAAGATACATTCTAAATTTCTCATTCTAACAAGGGTTGAAATTAACCAAGGGTGGTTTTTTTGCACCTGGCCTTCACATTTACAAACTTCCTCGGTCTTTGCATGGGAGTAAGTTTGCAGGCCTCTAATTAATTAGTGGGGATATCAAGGAAGGAGAACAGGTGATTTTTGGTGCTTCTGAGTTTGCATACCTTTTCCCATTCGGGGAGATGAAAAGTTAAGTTGGGATCTCTGTAGAGCTTCCAAATACATGTCATAATTTATGACAGTGTCTCAGAACCACTGAGCTTTCAGTTGGCTCAATTACTTGATATGTTTCTATACTGTTTCTTATTTTTATATTTAGGTGTTAATAGATTTTATGACAACATCCAAGAGATGGTGGGATACAGACCCTGCATCTGGTGGAAACTCTGCTGGTCCTTTTTCACTCCTATCATTGTGGCAGTAAGAAACTAACTTTTATTATATGGCTCAAAGGATGTTAAATGAGGTGGCCTGTGTGCTACAGCATTGTCATTTCCACCCCCACAGGTTCATATTAACTCTGACCTCATTCCTTTTTTAAGGATTTCAGCAATTCCATTGAAGGCAATTAGCAAAAAAACCCAGAGTCATTAGAGGAAGCTCGTGCCCTGAAAAAAAGTAGCCAAGATTTTATTGTATTAGACCTCTGGAAATGGTAACTAGTCAAGAGCTTCACTGGCAGAGATGGAAAACTGTAAAAAACAAACCTTGACCATTTCTTGTATTCTTAGAATTTTACAATCTCTCTAAAGTCCAAATTTTCCATATATACAGAGATACCCACATTCTGTAAACTGAATTCCTTCACAGGCACTTATTCTGGTGACAGAGAAGGGTTACAAACTGAAAGTCTTCTCTCATGGGATGCTGTGTCGTATATTAACCACTTTTATGCCACTGGCAAACTTTGCAGGGAATTTGTGGATTGGAAAAAAAATGATAAGCAAAGAAATGTAAGTTTACTGCACATAATATAGCTAACCTCAATGCAATATAAAAAACTAATCAGGCAGCCACTAGTACACCTGACACAATACTTGCCACTCACTGACATTTCTCTGGTAGTCCCACACAGGTAGCTATGGAAAAGCAAACGAGGAGCACTGAAGAGACACAGAAATGTGTTTATGTTGAGAGTTCCTTGAGTCATCCCTACCCACACGAAGGCAGCTTTCATTTTTTTCAAAAACAAGTGTTCAGGAAGGCTTAAGAAATGCATTTTTTTGTGTTTATTTTAGTGGTGCAGTAGTAAGATGACCAACGCTGTACGTAAACCTGGTCAGATTTCTCCTGTCCTGTGTGAAAGGTTATGTGTATGAAAGCATAGTGTTAACAGGAAATATTCATTTATGCTGAGAGGCTTCTTGGGAAACTCCAGGAAAAAAAAAAAAAAAACTCTTGAAGCCAGAACACTCTGGGAATATCATTCAAATCTTCCTTTCCACTGTGTTTTGCAGGGAGTGTTTATCTTCAGTGCTGTCCAGATGACTCCCCTCACAATGGGAAGTTATGTTTTCCCAAAGTGGGGCCAAGGAGTTGGCTGGTTCATGGCTTTGTCTTCTATGGTGCTGATACCAGGCTACATGGCATATATGTTTCTAACCCTGAAAGGCTCCTTAAAACAGGTAAGTCTCTCTTTCCTGGCCATCTTCAGACCTGTGCACACTGATCAGAACTTGCTGGGCAGTTGTTTTCTGTTACCTGTTTCTCTCTTGCTTAGCCCAGTTATTTTGCATCAAGCTGAAAAACATAAAAGCAAGTACCAACCAGAAAAAAAAAAAGACGAGAGAGTGTCTGTATCATCTGTAGTTAAACATAATTGCCCTTGTTTTGTGTGGTCTTTATCTCTGGTTTGACAGTTGCAGATACTTTTTGCACTGCAGCTCCTTACACCTAGAAAACAAAGTAGCAGTTTAGTAAATGTTTCCTAATTAATGCAAGGCATACATAAACCAAGACAGGGGCTGCTCTGAGGAACTGGCATCAAACTCTTAGGACTAATCCACGTTAACTCTTGTTTTGGCTGAGTCTGCTCAGTGCCCCTGTTTAGCATCCCCCTGTAATGTGATCAAAGACTGAGCTCCTGCTCTGCACTGCACCTGTTCTGAGTTACACCTTGCTCTGCTGTAGAGGGCAGGAAGGACATGAAAAACCTTTGGAGAACTTCCCTTTAGTCTTCATGGAAGGGATTTGGGATTTCTGTGAACAGTTGCCTCATGAAGAACACTAGAAGCTCTTTTCTCACTGAGCTGTGCTCTCAGCCTCTCCCTGACTCCTTATTCCAATTTTTACAAGGGGATGACACCAGCTTTAAGGTCCTCAGAGATGTGCTGCTAAAGGACTGGGAAATGCTGATAAGGTTACTGACCCACAGACTGTTCAGTAACCACCTACAATCACCACATCTCATTTTTTTTGAATCTGGGTGCATCCTCATTTTTCCCTCTCGAGCTCATGTTGTGCCTAACAGCCCCTTCTTCAACTCACGTGCTGAAACTTCTATGTCAGAGCCTCTATGACTGTGGCAGCCAAACACTGTCAAAATGAATTGGTTGGTATTTCTGGAAAATTCTAGAATCAGCTGACAGAGCCATCTTCGCAAAGGGCCGGATGATCTTTAGCAGAATTGATGTGTAATGTCTCATGAAATGCTCAGACCTTGACCCAAATATCTGTCTTCAGCAAATTTTAAAAGACTTAGGCTTCAAAGAGGTCTACAAAAAATTTCTGGGTTTCCCCCTCCCCCATCCTGTTCATAACTCCTACATTTTGAATCTCTCTCCTTTGGCCTTACAGTAACATTTACGTGCAAAGGGAGAATCATTGCTCTAAAATACAGCTGCTGCTGCTGGGGCAGAGTTGTGTAAGACTGTGGTAAAAGTTCCTCATCTCAGTTCTGCTGTGGATTAAGGTCTTGCTTTTGAAAGCACTGACAAAAACCGCTAGGTAAGGGGAGGAGCCTTGCACCAGTGACAGGCTCTGGGCATCTCAGCTGGTCTCCCTGCAGTCTCTCCTCATTTCTTTGCCCTGGGAAAGCCCCCTGGTTAATGCCTGCTGGCATCCAGCATTTTGCACGGGGGGTCTTTCAGCTCCTGCTGTCACATTCAGGATAGAGCTAAACCTCCTTCAGTAGGTGTGGCTTAGTGCTGGTTTGGTCCCTGGGGAGACAGGCAGTTGTAATTCTAGTTATAATGGCTCCACACAAGTGTTTAGGATTGTATTTTAAAATAATTACAGAAAAAAAAAAATAGAGCAAGCTTAGAAACAGTTTTTTTGGCTGCCTCACATTTATTGTTGTCCTTTAAACAGCGCATCCAAGTGATGATTCAGCCAAGTGAAGACATCACTCACCCTGAAAATGGGCCAGACCAGGCCCAACAGAGCAACTCTGCTAACAAAGAAGCCTACATCTAAACTTCTGTATTGTAAAAGTACCACTCCTACTCCAGAAAAACAAAAAATATGGTTGAATATGACCACAAAATTATGTCTGAGAATATAATTACCTACCTCTAGTGGCAAAAAAAAAAAAAAAAATTAAAAAATTAAAAAAAAAATAAAATAAATAATTTAAAAAGAAAAAAAAGGAGAAAAAAGCAACAAGGTCATCTCCACTCTAAGGGAATCGCCATGGGTATGATCCAGCCATCATGCGAGCTCAGATGTTGACAGTGTTGTTGTGTTCTCTGGCAATCCACAGACTGTTAATGTTTTTATCCTTTCACAATAATAGTTGCATACCTTGGAATTTGTAAATTGATGTGCCAAGACCTTTTTAATCTACCTTTTAGCACGACTATTTGAAGTTTTGTGCTGCTGATTTTTAGTAGTTTATCACTGTTTCTTACCGCTGAATCCCAAGACTGTTATTTCTGACTTTGCAGGAGTAAAATTAAAGTTTGGGTTGTTTTGTACAAAAGTACGAAGCATTTTTGTAAACAAGTGATTTCCAGTGAAAAAAAAGTCTTGCCCTTAAAATTCGTTCCAGCTGAGGCCATTTGAGGGGGAAGAGACTTCCTTCAATTAAACAGCAGCCACAGCCTTTAAAAACATTCCTAGTGCAAATTGAGCCGTCTGTGGCAGTGCAGCCCAGGCTGCTCACTGGCTGTACTCTGCCTTTCAGGTGACTTTCAAATAAGGTCATAAATTTCTTTGAAAACACGTATGCTGTTTCTTACATAAAGAAGGTGTATCTTTGTGAATCCACACATGAATTGCAGATGTTAGAGGCATAAATATGAATTTTAACTTTTTTAGCAGAGTGATATCCAAGAGCTCCTAAAGATTCCCAGGAGTAAAATACAAAGCATTTGCAATCGAAGCTCAGAGTGCTTGAGCTATTATTATGCTGTTATTATCCTACTATTATTGCATTGTCACCAAAAAGAAACCAAAACAATGGCTCAAAGATGGAAGTAAGCTCTAATTTAAGATTCAATTCCCAGCTGTTCTTTCTCAATCTGTTAAAGGACTTTAACGGTTCCCAACGAGCAAAATACAGAATACGGATGGTTAGCACTTCGGGGCCCGGTTGATATTTTGATTTCCACCTGACTGGTGGTGACGAAGGCACGAGGCACAGCTATTTCAATACGATGCCACCTCGCTCTGGGCCCCGTCTGCATTTGCCACACAGCCAGGAAAGCCCGGCCAGCCCCTGGAAAGTTTTCCCTGTGTGGGGAAATGCAGCGCTAGCCCCGAGATGGCATTTCTCGTTTGGCAGCTATAATGACGAGACACGGAGGATTATGGAGAGCGCAAGTAGCTGATTGTTTGATTGTAAACGACTGTGACAGAACTGTGCAATGAAACAGGCTTCTCAGCAACTTTTTTGTGCACCGTACAAATGTTAGATAGCACAATTTATGTAGAACTACTACGTGAAAAAACATGTTACCTGTGAATGTTGGGTTTCTCTGTTGTTTTCGTCTGAAGGTGACAAACATGTTCTTGCAATAAAGTATTATTCTCAGAATGTCAAGCACATTATGTAGAAATAATATATATATATAATACACATGTATTTCGAACTACATCATAAAATTTCGGAGTATGTTCAGTAGGTTCTAAACTGTTTCATAGATCAACTGTAAAATACCACGAGATCTAAGCTACATCCTAAAAGGCCATAGCTGAGATGCAAACATCCTGTAAGTCTTTGGGGTTTAGAGGAACCTGTACATTCTACACAAACATTACACATGATACATGCACATCATAATTGTGAATTTCATTAGACTAAGGATTAAAATTCCAACTTTATTGTTTAATGTAATCAAGTCCCATGTTGTTCTAAGAAAAATGCAGTATTTAATGTTTGATTGTAAACAATTATGACAGATGTTTGACAGACCTGCTCTTTAGCAAAAAGCTGTACAAACGTATCACATAGCACAAACTAGTGTTGTAGAACTACTGTGTGTAAACTGTGAATAGCTGTATCTTTTTTGTAGTACTTGCCCTGAAAAAAAAAAGATTATTGTATGATCATATATGCTTTTTGCAATAAGGAAATATCCAACACCAGGCAAATCTATCTCTATATAAAAATATATATGTAATATATACATATTCAAAAATATATACAGAGCCTGTTTAAAAGAGTACAGTATTATTTAGTAAACTGCAACCTGTTCTATGGACCAAATGTAAAATATTTATAAATTAAGATGCATTTTAAATGTCTATAAACGGTGTCATAATTAAAGCACGATTGTTATGTAAGTTTCCAAGAGTTTAGAGGAAAAAGAATAAAGGTTATATTATACATTAAACTCAGAATTTGCAGTCTTTCATTACACAGTCCCAAAGTGTGTTAATTTTCTGTGAATCAAGTTCCAAATGTGTCACATATATATATATATATATATAAATACCCTTGAAATATCCAAATGCTGTATCCCACTTGTAATGTATATAATTAATCCATGCTATTTCTGTGCTGTGATTAGTATGTGCATACATTATACAGGGAGCTTCAAAGGTGACAGTTAATAGCCCTTCCTGACATCCTGCTGCTTTAATTCTCCCGTGGGAAGATGGCATAGCAGGGGTAAAACCCTGGATTTTGAAATGGCCACTCCTCAAGTGCACCTGTGAGGATGCTTTGGGGTGTGAACTGCAGCACCTGATGTCCCTGATCTTGGAGCCATCCCAGGCTGATGAAACAGCACCTGGATACTCCCCAGACAGATGACCCACTGCTACAAAAAAAATAAAAAAAAAATAAAAAAAACCACCCTGGGTCCCTGTGTCAGCTGCCCTGGCAGGGTGAGAAGATGTGGAGCTGTGCCCGTGCAACACTGTGGAGGGACTGGCCGTTCCTGGGCTTGGAATTTAATTATCTAACTGCAAAATTGGAGCAGGGCTACATGCTGGGGAAGAGTCTAAGCAATTTAGAGAGCCTGATTAGAATTGAAAACGCTCCCGAGAGAGGCGTCTAAAATCATAGACTTCAACTTCAAACTGCTGACCTTAGAAAGGAGCACTTGGGTGCTGGAGTACACGGCCAGGGCAGAGCTCTAAAGCAGGCTGGGGAAGGTGGGGAGACCAAAGATTGTTCTGGAAATGGGGGAAAGGAGCAACTTCCATGCTTTTGGAGTAGGGGGGGAAATGTGAGCTGTGTTTCATGATTAGTCCCCGAGCACTATGGCCGTGGCCTGCTGAAAGGGAAAGGGTGAGGGTTGCAGCTGAGAGCAGGGAGACCTGGTTAGTGATGGGTGGGCAGGGGGCAACGGGGGGCTGAGGAGCAGGAACCTACTTGAAGGATATTGCGTTAGTGCTGTGATATTTCCATGTCCTCCCGGAGGAATTTTCTCTTGCCACGCCGCAGAAATCCCAACAGCAACTCAACAAGAAAAATGCAAATAAGGTCACTTCTCCCCTACAGGACTGCAGGATGCCCTGAGAGAAATCTATGTCCTTGCTCGTCAGGAGTATTAGTTCAGCTACATGTGCTTTTATTCTAAAATAACACTGTCTTGCTTTGGGGTTTGGGGGATTTTTTTGTTTGTTTGTTTGTTTTAAGCCCGATTATTTCTGTTTTCTTCTGCTCAGGCCACAAAAGCATTACAATTAACTATTACAATTGCTCAGCTCTCACTGCTGGCTGGTTATTTGGGGGGCGTAACCCAAAGGCAGGGTGGTGCAGGCAGCAGTCCCCGCCTGCCAACACCCCTCCACGGGCATAACCTCATCTGGCAGCTCCGTCGCACCCAGCGGGGAGCAGCAAAAAAAGGAGCTGCACTAAAGAATCTGGACATCCCTGTCTCGGTCCCTTCCCCTTCGGGATGGATTCACCTCACCCCGATGAAGAGAAGCCGGTGAGCCAGAGCACGGCTACCTGAGAGCACCTACAGCCAGACGTGATGAGGAAGCAGCATCCCAAAATCCTTGTTTCCCGGGAGCCTGAATGGATCAGCTCAAAGCCGAGTGGGAGCTGCAGCAGCTGCCAGCCAGGGTTTGTGACTCTGCCAAAGCACCACAATCACCCGGGTTCACTCTTGCTCATCAGAGCAGGAAGGAAGGCACCAGGCTTTAGATTCTAAAGGGACTTTTTACTCACCCCACCCCCCCCCAACCCCCTGCCAATTCTTCTTTCCCAGCTTCTCACACTGCTTAGGATGTTTAAAATAAAACTGAGGAGAATGAGTGAGAAGGAGGGTTTAACCCACATACAATTTTTCCTGAGTTTTTCCCCAGTCTAAATCTGCCTTACTTCTCACTTTTTCCTATGAAGTTCAATCAAACAAACAGAGCAAAAAAGGTAATTCAGTGGGGTAAAGTGAGCCATAATATTAGCCCCTCTACAGAGCTCAGTCTTTTCAAGAAGCTGATGTAAATATTGCCACTTTTCATTCTTGCCTCTGCACATTAGGACCAGTTAATAATTCCACCACTCTTTCCTGCTGACTATTAATGGACAATGGGCAATTTTCCTCTGTTGTCACAGAAATCCAATTAATTTTTAGAGCTGTGCTGCTGTGGTTTGTTCTGTCCCTCTGACCACACACTATACCAGTGCATTCATTCAAGATTTGCCCCTGTTTTAACTATGTGTGAATCGGTGGGGGAAAACTTAAAATATTTACAAGAGCCTGGAGTGACAGGAAACAGGGAGTGGCTTCTCACTGGCAGGGAACAGATTTAGCTCAGATGTTGGGAAGAAATTGTTCCATTTGAGGGTGGGCAGGCCCTGGCACAGGTTGCCCAGAGAAGCTGTGGCTGCCCCATCCCTGGAAGTGTCCAAGGCCAGGTTGGACGGGGCTTGGAGCACCCTGGGCTGGTGGAAGGTGTCCCTGCCCATGGCAGGGGGTGGCACTGGATGGGCTTTAAGATCCCTTCCAACCCAAACCAGTCTGTGAATCTGTGACTGAAAGATTTTGCAACTGTTTAGCTGATCTTTTTTTTCCCCAGGTTTGTAAATGGTCTCACGTTAAACTCAGTGGCAAACACTCAGTTATTATTTTCGAATATCAAACAGGCTGAAGTAATTCTGTGAGTTATTTGTGAGTCATAAGTACATGCTGGTGCTAAATGTGTCCAGCAGTGCCTAAGAGAAGGACAGGATGGATCAGGCGCTGTCACAGGGACAAAAACTAATATGTTTTGCCAGCAATGGTGCTTTAGTCAGATTGGAATAGCTGCCTGACGTGCTTTTTGGCTATAAGTAGCTGAGAGGTGATTATAAACAAAGTAACAGTGGGTAGAAAATAGCCAAAACGTCCGTGTTAGGTGGAGTCTGGAGTTTCCTCTACACTTCACCAAACTGGTGCTAGAAGGGGAATAAAACTGAATGGAACAAGGAGCTGCCTTATTCCCTTATATCGTGCAATTTCTATTTGTTACAATTATTCTAAAGCAACCTGGGAATGTCTAAAAATGTTTAACATAGAAAAAAAGGGGAAAAAAAAAAAAAAAGCCTAAGAGGCTAGTTTTAGTCCTAGAAAAAGGTTTTCCAGAACCCGCTGGCACTGTCATTTACTGGCCACACCACATGCAAACACAACAGCTGCCTCTGCATCCCAGTGCTCCCCGTGGATGGAAAACCATCCCCACACACAGTCAGCAATCACCTCCAGCCAATCCCTCTGCCCCTGCTCAGGGCATCAGCACACTGCAGCAGAGCCTGGCTGTGCCTCAGGATCCCGTGTGCCAGGGCTGATTCCTGAAAAACAGCTGCAGTCACTGCTGCCAGGGCTGTGCCTCTGGGCAGCGTCCCACAGGCGGAATTTCTGTCCCAACACACTCCAGCTCGGAAGGAGGAAGTCACTAAATATTGTCTTGTGGATATAAAGCCGTCTGGTACTGCAGGAACGGAACCAGCTACCCTGGAATGACTGAGGGGTGTTTTGATGGAGATATCCTACGAGCAAAAAAAAAAAATAGATCTCTCCCTGAATATAAACAAGAACGTCAGGTTGTGTTAGGGAATTATTTCTAGGTCATTTCAGTTCACTGCGCTGCACTACAAATACTTCACTGAATGAATGACCAAAATAATTAATCAAAACACTAGAGAGAAACACCAGCAACTAACTTTGCCTAAAAGTGACAGAGCTGGGTGGTTTTTAACCTGCTCTTTACCAGCTGTCACAAAAAAAAAAAAAAAGCAGCAAACGACCTTTACTGCTGCTCTTTCCCCAGACCCATCCTCAGACTGGGGGGGGATGAGGGTGACCTTTCCCAGCCCGATTCCTCCTGCTGTATCGTGACTGAACTTGCCTGTCAGGATCTGCTTCAAACCCACAAAGTTAGACTTGGATTCGGGTTAAAAACCACTCTGCCTCAATCCAAACATGCTACTCAGAGCAGATGAGTCCCTCATTCCAGTCCACTTGCCACTGAAGGCACTGAGCTCCCAGCAGCTGCCCCCAGTGATGCATCAGGTCCAGCAGCCCGTCTGAAATAAGAAAGTGCAAGCTGGGAACAAGGCAGAGAAGGAAGATTTGTTCTTGCACAGCTCAGTTGTCGCTTTTATCACTTCCTCGTGGGTGAGGTCTGCAGGGGGATCGCTGAGGGGTCATCAGTAGGCACAGAGCATTGTGCTCATCAGGGAATTACTCGGTTATCTGTGCTGAGTTGTTTCACTTCTGCTATCAATGTGCAGGATAACCACCTGGGGTATGGCTTTAGCAGCAAATTAACACATGATGACTTGTGCTCATGTCCTCCGGTCCTGTCACTTGTCCCTTGGGAGCAGAACCTGACAGTGTCCATCCTCCCCCAGCTCTCCCCTCTCCTGTCAGGGAGTTGCAGAGAGTGAGAAGGTCCCCCCTGAGCCTCCTTTTCTCCAGACTAAACATCCCCAGCTCCCTCAGCTGCTCCTCACAGGACTTACTGTCATTACTTACTGTCTTTATTACCCTAAAGCACTATTTAATGGGACTGTTTGGGGTTTTGAGGGGGATAAAAGACATAGAGTTGAATGTCTGCAATTAAATAATAAAATGCAAGCTTAGAAGAAAATGGCATTATAAAAAATTTTAGAGAATATCAAGGAACCAATCTCCTAACTTATGCTCTTGAAGAAGGGAAATTGTGCTCAGTTTCACCATTCAAACTTATAAAATTGTCAGCATGAAACACTGTGCACGTGTTGCATTTAAGCTTCTCATTTGCACAAAAAATTTGCCCATATATGCTCAGAGACTTTGTTTTCTTACTTCTTTACATACTCTGTATTACTTAACATTCAATATTTTATAATATGTTGTGTTTTCAACTCATCCTTCTCCTTGGTAAATCACAGGCTTCCCCAGGGGTTCCTGGCATGCTTA